TTAACAATTAAAGTTGCTTCTGATTGTAATGCTGGAAGAACAGTTACCCTGGTCTTAAGCATTTTACATCCTCTAAGATCACAAGTACCAATGTGTTTATTTCCATTATTCTTTACATCATTTCTGCCAACTTTCTTAAGTTTGCTGAAGATGCCCATAGACACAGCATGCTGCTGCCACCACCATGTTCCATGCTGGGGTTGATCTGCACAGGTGACGTTGTACCACATATTGTGGCAAGCTGCAAATGGGGTTTCCAGCTGCTTTCTTTCAAAAATGCCTTCTTCCCTGTCTATTCCTGACCCATTTGTCAGTTTAGGTGTGTGGTTATGCCATGATAGGTTTTCACCTATAGCTTTTACACATAAACATTTCAGTTTTTATAGGTACCATTTCCAGATTGTCATATTTGTGGAGAAAATCCGATTTAAAGCTTTCTCTAACTGCTTTGCAGTTATGTATAATTAAGGAGAGTCGGAGGCTGCTTAAAGAGGGATTTTTCATAAAATGAGGAACCATATGGAAAACCAATGAGCATCCTTCTGACCAACAACCTTCCTTCCTGTCTACAGGTATTAACATCTAAAACAGCTTGTTAAAGAAACCCTTATAAGAGTTAAAACAATTTTATTCTCTTTAACGACAGATAAAGTTATTTAGAATTAAAATTAACTGAATTCAATCATCCAAATTTTTGGAACTTAAGACTTGATCTGGGATTTATCTGTAAAGCAATTGAATTTCAGCTCTTGCTGCTTTCCTTTACTTAGAAATGCCAGGAAATGTCCCTTGAGCACCACGTCAGACTTACACAGTCAGTCTGGAGCCACTATAAGTCATCCCTCTTTCCTGTTGTAAGAAAATTACATTTGATTATGAACATGTGTTGATTTTATTTCTGCATTATGTTTGTATTGATAGATTTTTACTGAAGCAGCACATTTTTGTCGTTTCCAAGAAAGCACAAAGACATCTGTCAAAATACAACGCACAGCAGTTTTATGTCAAATTAATCCTGCTTTATCAGAAAATTGCCATATTTACAATCAGTAAAAACTGTTGATAAGTAGCTTTTGCTGACCTTATTGGATTTTTATAGTGCATGGCCTTGTCACAGAAATTCTTGTTCCCTGTTTTATGACTTTGCAGTAGGAACAAGGAGCAGGGCGTTTTGGCAGCATAAATGAAATAGAAGCTTAGTCAGTGTCAGATTACTAAAGGAAAAGAACAACAGGGTCATCCTGCTATAAATTAAATCTGTTGGAACAGATTGTTCCATAGAGAAGTTAATATGAACTGTGAGATCCCTGATCACAAGAACACTGAAGCAGCTGTTAAGTATGGTTTTTGCCAGGATTATGCTCCGTTTCAGTTTTGCTGCCTGTGATGCTCTTATATTGCACAAGTGGGGCAATTAGGCCTTCCAAGGGAAGACTATCTCTAAAGTATTTATATTTAACAGATTAAAACACACAATCTCTGGATGTGGATGACGTGGTTCTGTTGGATCCCTCCTACTAAGACCTACAACATGTACCTGGATGATGATCAGCTCCTCCAAGTCCCAGGGCATGGTTCTTGGCTGGGAAAAGGTGGCCTGTCCCCTTGAGGCTGAAGGAGAGTTCCTGCCTCAAGAAGGGAGAGAGACGCTTCTCCTACGCTTGAGAGGAGCCAGTTGAGGTGGCTCAGACATCATTTTGAGATAACTCCAGGACACTTTCACCCAGAGCTGTTCCAGGCACATCCAAATTGAAGCGCAGGGGACGATCCAGGACATGCTAAAGAGACTAATCTCTTTTGACTGGCCTGAGTATGCCTTGGTGTTCCCCTTGCAGAGCTGGAGAAGGTGTCTGAAAAGAGGGAAGTCTGGGAGTCTATGGTGAGACTGCTGCCCCAACCACCTGGTCAAGTGGTGGATTGGAAGCCAGAGGACAGGAACGCTAGAACGAGCTGGAGAGCATGATGGAGGAGATGGGTTAGAGGTGGGTCGAAGCTCAGCTGAAGAGCAGGACAGTCTGTGACCAGAGAGTTTTAAGCAGAACTTTACATGATGGTTGGCTGAAGGGGAATGAGGACTTGACAGTGACTAGCTGGAGCAGAGGTGCATGGTGAGGTGTTTGAATGCAGGTGATGCTTGAATGAGTCTTCCAGTTTGAATTTGCATCTTAACCTCATTTCACAGTTTTGTTTTGCATTTTTGTTTTGCACCCTTAGCAGACATTTTGTTTTCATTGTCCTGCATAATCTAGGATTGAGCCAGATGCCGGCTAATAATCAATACGTGATCTGCTTATACAACTATGCTTATGCCAGGGCAACTGTTTAACTCCTCTTTGTGGTGTTATTTCCGTCAATTTTGTCTTATTGATGAATTCTTCAAGAGTCTGATGTTGGGGCGTGCAGGTTGTGCAGTGGGTAGTGCGCACGACCCATGTACGGAGGCCTCAGTCCTCGACGCGGCTGACCCAGGTTTGAATCCAGCTTGTGGCCATGTCTCTCCCTCTCTCTCATACCCCCTTTCCTATCAGCCTACTGTCAGAAAAACTAACAACTAGTGCTGTAACAACAAATTTCCTATCAGATCATCTAACTTCCACAAACAAATCCTCATTGTTCTCTAAAAGGATATTCATCTATATTTCACCACATTCTTCTTTTTTATGGAACTTTATGGAATCTGTTATAAAGTTTAGTACAGTTATTAAATAGTTTTTGTTAAAGATTTAATTGTTGAATTTGTTAGTTTAATTTCTAACATTACGCTCTCTCTGCTTTTTCTCATAGTAGCTTCATCTGGTCTGTTCCTGTTTGGCTGAGACACCATCCTGGAGAGAAATATCAGCTGTGCTGTTGCCATCAACACCTTTGTTTAAAGATGTTGGAGCTTGACCTGTTTTTCAGCGAAGTCTTATTTACCTGACTGTGACTGGCTGGATGTGCTCATCTGCCTGGTTGTGTGTTTCCTGGACGGGGCCGCCTGTAGAGCTGGTTGATAGTTGCCTTTTGTATCCCTGCTTCTATCTTCGGGCCTCGGCAGATGGCCGTTCACACTGAGCCTGGTTCTGCTGGAGGTTTCTTCCCGTTAAAAGGGAGTTTTTCCTCTCCACTGTCGCTACAAGCATGTCTAGTGTTGAGTCGATGCAATCAACTGGTTTCCGTTAGATAGAAAACTTTTAATCAATTTGACTGTATGATCTGGTTGAACTGTAAATTGCCTTGAGATGACGTGTTGTGAATTGGCCCTATATAAATAAACTGAATTGAACTGAAAGATTTATTAGATGTTAATACTAATTTACACAAAATATAACCAAGCTAAATAAACAAAGCCTTAAACATGGTTAATGCACCGTTAATTCATGTATTTAAAAACAGCTATATTTGAATTTACACAATTTTCCAGCTTTAAATATGAATAATTAAAACATACACTTTGGGATAACTTTATTAATTAACCATTCATTAAAAAATAATTTTAGTTAATGATTATTTATAAGGATCTGGTATTAAAGAAAAAATAAATATATCCATCAATAGTACCTATTTTAAATATTATGCAATGGCTATATTTTTCACAGTTTCAAGAAACTCTTTTACACAGTTTTTACAGCACGAGAAACCACCATTGCATCTGCTGTTGCTTTATTTGCTACAGTTATTGGCTAAAGTGTCGTAGGTGTCGCTTCATCCAATCTCTTTGAAACGTATTAAATGATCCTCCTTTCAACACACAGATTTAATGGAAGCAGTCCCAGATTAATGTTTTTAATATTGTGTAGAACAGGGGTCTTCAACGTTTTCCAGGCCAAGGACCCCCAAGCTGATGGTGAGATGGAGCGGGGACCCCCTAATTATATAAATTGTATGAAAAATTTGTTATATCAAACTGCTCCTATAGTCCCTCTATTACATATAGAGTAATGTAACGAAAGTAATTCCTTCCTGGGATTATTAAAGTATTTCTGATTCTGATTCCTAATGGTGCCCAGCTTGAAAGAGCTCCTGTGTGTCGCTGAATGTGTACATTGATGACTGAAAGACATCTTCTGCCTCCCTTTATCTGTTTACTACAGTGTGTTAAATTCATGTTAATGTCTATTTAAAGACATTTCAATTAGTGGAAAAAATTGCAGGGGGAAATATAAAAAAATGTCTAATCAACCAAAAATGTCACGACCCCCATGCAGTACCTCTGCAGACCCCCTAGTGGTCACGGACCCCCTGTTGAAGACCTCCGGTGTAGAATCAAACTTACAGAGTGCCACAGATTATCAATCTGGTTTGCCAGGTTCACTGTCCATCTCACTTTACTTTTAATGTTAACAAGACAAAAACAAGAGAGAAAACTTTTTCAAATGATCTAACTCTTGTTTTTTTTATGTTAAAGTATTGAATAAATATTGCATCCTTCAAACTGAATAGTAAACGTTCTTGATACATAAATAAAAGGCAAAAATCAATATGGTATTTACAGTCAGGAATAATAAATCAGAAAGTACATTCCAATAAGGCTTTTCACATTAAAGTACTTTTTAAAATTAACATAGTTTCAACTGGTATGAAATATTATTTTTTATCTAGATCACATTTCTGTAAAAAAAAAAAAAAAATATGAAAATATAAATAGTGTGTTTGGAGGAGTAATAAGCGAAATTGACCAGTAGGTGGGTTGTTGAGCACTGTCTGCAGACCAAAACAAGATGTGTGACAAGCAATGCTTCCCTCTACCTCATATCTTGCTGCAACCCTACCCTGTGCTTGAAAACATAAGAGCAACACAGAGAGATCATGGCATGACATCACGTCCTGTTTCTTCTAAAAATATATCTTTAGTTCCTAAAATCACAATATTTTGGGTTCTGTCTAGGCAATAATTATTTCTTATTACTCATCTAAATAACCAACATAGTGTTTTCAATTTAAATAACTGAGTACTCAAATAATTTAAATAAAACTCAGATTTATTTAATATGAAAAGAGTTTTGAAAAACAGTTGCTTAAACTATCTGAATCAGAGTGTTTTTATTGGTCATAAACATTTGAACCCCAAAAAATCTGCAATTCAAACTTTATTGTTCCCAAATAAACAAAAAAAAAAAAACAATTGTAAATTCAAACTAGAATATACACGTTATCTATGATTTACAACTTTTAAATTAAATCATATATTACAGGAGGCAAAGTGAGAAGTAAAAGGAAACAAAAATAGTTGAAATCATAAAATGAATCATCTCATTTTCTTTTTGACTTGGAGAATTTTTCAGCTCATCTCCTTTACCAAAAAATTACACTGCAAAAAAGTAAATTCATAGATGAACACAAAAATAAATTAACCAGGTAAAAAGCTCTGACTTTGTTATTGCTAAACTTAAAATCCTGAGTTTTTGATCTTTTAGAATGAACTTAGAACAAATTCTGTATATATGTTAAACAAAATGACATTACTGAGAGGTCAGTTGACTAAGAATGTATGAATCATAAAGCTAAATTTACGATTTTGACATTGAAACACAGGACTGTTTTACGAGAGCTTATAATTACCCATAAGAGTCATACAGAAGAGGCTAAAATGATATTTATTACACCTCATTACATATCTCAGCTCCTGTTAACAACTTTTACATCAAATGGAATCCAGTAAAGTGCAGTATCCTGAGAAAAGTACCCCAATAGAAGCCCTCAAGTGATCCAGCTCTCCTCCCCTTAATTGAAGTAAGGGTTGGTCTGGCCTCGGTTCTGACTGTAGGGGTTCATGCCTCCGCTCTGTCCGTATGGGTTGCTCCGTTGCACGACGTGATCATAGGGGTTGTTCTGGGGTCGAGAGAATGAGAAAATATAAATTTTTTCCGACATTTCTGTGTGGGTTAGACACAGATATATAGCAGAATTGTACCCACCGAGTTCCTCCCCGAAGGAATCAAGTTCTGTCGGCTGTTGCTGGGCGTCATCTCCAGGTTGGTCTTGTCCCAGTTGCTAGTGTGTGTGGCCCGTGGGATTCGAGGGGCCCCAGTATTTGCTGAAAGGTTGTATGCTGACTCTTTGACGGAGGGGCCATAACCAAAGCCACTGCCATTAGATGCTGGTGCCTTGGCAACAGAATGGCTGTAGTAGGGCTCCAAAATCTCTTCCTCTTTCTTCGATTTTTTCTTCTTGTTTCTGAAAACAGACAAATAACATTGAGTTCTGCAGAATGTTTCTGTGCTACTAAGTCCTGCTTATAATTAAATCTGTACGGGAATTGGTGAAACCCTCTATAATTACAACAGCCACACTCACAGAAAATAACTTACAGGTGCTGGTCATAAAATTAGAATATCATGAAAAAGTAGATTGATTTCAGTAATTCCATTTAAAAAGTGAAACTTGTATATTATATTCATACATTACATACAAACTCATATATTTCAGATGTTTATTTTGTTTAATTTTGATGATTACAAATGACAACAAATGAAAATCTCAAATTCATCATATCAGAAAATTAGAATATTACTGAAGACCAATAAAAACAAAGGATTTATAGAAATGTTGGCCAACTGAAAAGTATGAACATGAAAAGTATGAGCATGTACAGCACTCAGTATTTAGTTGGGCCTCCTTTGGCCTGTATTACTGCAACAATGCGGCGTGGCATGGAGTCGATCAGTCTGTGGCACTGCTCAGGTGTTATGATAGCCCAGGTTGCTCTAATAGTGGCTTTTAGCTCTTCTGAATTGTTGGGTCTGGTGTATTGCATCTTCTTCTTCACAATACCCCATAGATTTTCTATGGGGTTAAGGTCAGGAGAGTTTGCTGGCCAATTAAGAACAGGGATACCATGGTCCTTCAACCAGGTACTGGTAGCTTTGGCACTGTGTGCAGGTGCCAAGTCCTGTTGGAAAATGAAATCTGCATCTCCAAAAAGTTGGTCAGCTGCAGGAAGCATGAAGTGCTCTAAAACTTCCTGGTATGTGGCTGCGTTGACCCTGGACCTCAGAAAACACAATGGACCAACACCAGCAGATGACATGGCACCCCAAACCATCACTGACTGTGGAAACTTTACACTGGACTTCAAGCAACGTGGATGAAGTGCCTCTCTTCTTTTCCTCCAGACTCTGGGACCTTGATTTCCAAAGGAAATGCAAAATTTACTTTCATCAGAGAACATGACTTTGGACCACTCACCAGCAGTCCAGTCCTGTTTCTCTTTAGCCCAGGCAAGACGCTTCTGACGCTGTCTGTGGTTCAAGAGTGGCTTGACACAAGGAATGCGACAGCAGAAACCCATGTCTTTCATACGTCTGTGTGTGGTGGTTCTTGAAGCACTCACTCCAGCTGCAGTCCACTCTTTGTGAATCTCCCCCACATTTTTGAATGGGTTTTGTTTCACAATCCTCTCCAGGGTGCGGTTATCTCTCTTGCTTGTACACTTTTTTCGACCACATCTTTTCCTTCCCTTCGCCTCTCTATTAATGTGCTTGGACACTGAGCTCTGTGAACAGCCAGCCTCTTTAGCGATGACCTTTTGTGTCTTGCCCTCCTTGTGCAAGGTGTCGATGGTCGTCTTTTGGACAACTGTCAAGTCAGCAGTCTTCCCCATGATTGTGTAGCCTATAGAACTAGACTGAAAGACCATTTAAAGGCTTTTGCAGGTGGTTTGAGTTAATTAGCTGATTAGAGTGTGGCACCAGGGGCCATCAATTTTGAACCTTTTCACAATATTCTAATTTTCTGATATGATGAATTTGAGATTTTCATTTGTTGTCATTTGTAATCATCAAAATTAAACAAAATAAACATCTGAAATATATGAGTTTGTATGTAATGTATGAATATAATATACAAGTTTCACTTTTTAAATGGAATTACTGAAATCAATCTACTTTTTCATGATATTCTAATTTTATGACCAGCACCTGTAAATCTACAGCATACATCAGAATTATACTATTTTTCAAATGAAGATAACTTACTTGCTTAAAACTATCGGCAAAACGATCAACGTGATGAGCAGCAGGGCTCCAACGATTGAGACAACGATGACGAGGATCAGTGCTGTGTCTAACAAACAATTAAAATAATAGTCAGTAATAAATCACAATTAATGACTTTGCTACAACGGGATCACTTAACATTTTAAAGAGCACTCTCAGTTACATTTAAACAAAGGAAGATATTACTGTACAAGTTGATGTAAAGTATTACTTAAAAGCTTTAGAGCGAATTTTATCCTTTTAATGTTACCCAGCTTGTCATTGTCATTTGTCCATGTTTGACATTAGCTTTACTTGTTAAAATAACATTTTTTCAATCATTTCATTCACTCAGGGTTGTGATGTATGCTAATATATTACTCAAGGGGTCTTAAGTTATTTTTTTAGCAAAGTAGTACAGGTCTATGGCACCCAGGTAACTTCCAATTGCTGAAATTTCGCTAAAGAATAAAGTATTGGATAAAAGATCATATTTTTTTCAACAGTACTGAGGGCAAAAAGGCTAGTTCATAATCTTTTAAAGAACTAGGAAAGCAACAGCTGTTTGTATTTGTTAAAGCATTTTGCAGCTTCATAAAAAAAATTTCAATATGACAATCCAACTCAGGAATTAGAAAACATTTAAACTCTCCCACCCCGAAAGACCCCAAAAATAAACAAACAGATCTTAATAGCTTGACACTGTCACTTTCAGCACTGCATACTCACTGTCATTGCAGTCAAAACCAGAGAGGAGAGGAGAACAACTGCAACAAAACAATGGTTTAATTTAAAATTGCTGTACTTATAAACAACCATAACAGCAGATGGAAATGATGCACTTACTTGACACAAGCATTTTGTTCTTTTTCATATTTCTGACCAGGAGGACAGGCTATAAAACAAATAAGTTACATTGTTATAAATGTAAAGACATACACTGTAAATATTCTGCATTTTAAACTTTCTTACCTCTGCATACTCTGTCAATGAAGTCATTTTCATGGTAGCCATCTTTACATGTACAATTGTATCTGCCGTCTTCAACTGTACACGTTGTTGTTATAGGATCACATGTTGTATCGTCACAAAGTTCCTTGGCTTTATAGGGAACAGAAAAAGGTAGATCAGATCAGCTAACCTGACAACACTGCATGGACATAAAATGAAAACATCCCAGATAGTTTAAATCCCCAGAACTACTACTGATATAGTCTTGACAGAAATCAGGCCACTTGACACCGACACAATGTCTATATTCAGTACTTGCAAAGATTTTCCTGTTAATGTTTAAAATAAATATGAGGTTAAGAAAAAAATCTAAACCGAGCTGGAAAAGAATAGAATAATGGAAAAATCATAAAAATAAATTACGCTGCCAGCCAATATGGGAACTAGGCTTCTTATTAATATGGCACTTCATTTTAGGTGAATAGGAAGGAAATACAGCAAATAACATTTTATCAATATTTCATAGCCACACAATCCTCATAAATATTCTGAGTGGTGATAGATATGTAAAGTTAGAGAAAATGAAAATACACAAGAATCCTCAAAAGAAATAAATATTTATCTTGAACTCACTTTCAACTGTTCCCTCCAGTGGACAGTCATTGCAGACAACTTTTTTCAATTCTTCATCTACATCCCCAGTTGTTATTTCAGCATCGTTATCATAGATGATTTCTACTGATGCTTCAACATTCCCTGTGTCTGACCTTGCTTTGGTTGGTACATACCTCCTATTTGAATAAAAAACATCAGAATTAAAGATGAAACATTGGATTAGTCTACATCACTCTGTAAATTGTCTCTGGTGGATGAATACACTGTTTGACTCTGAAGCTTACCGGAGTTCCAGCACAACGGAACGACTGTATTTAGTATTCGACTTGAACTGTTCGTACAGCTGTATTTGAAAACAGGTCAAACCTAGTCAATTACATCCTATTCAAGGCAATATTTAAGAAACATACAACAAAATGGCTTCAATATGTGGAGCAGAGGGGAGATGGATGTTGCTCCAATACATTTATAGTAGGGTATTCTGGTGCAAATAAAACATGGAGAAAAAATAAATGGCTGCTTACCGCTCCAGTAATTTTTTCTGCTGTCTTTTTGAATATCTCTGTTTTTTTGTCACTCATACCTTCCTCATATTTATCCAACAATTTCAGTAGTTTACGGAAAACTTTGGCTGTTTGGGGAAAAAATGATAATTATAAGAAATTTAAACAAATAATCATACGAACAGAAATAATAATAATGTTGAAGCAAATTACATTTTCTATCTATTTATTATCTAATCACGTTTTATAGATTGAATAGAAGCCAAATGTCTGTTAAAATACTATTAACCTAGCAACCTCATTGTTGACTTAATTGTAGAATTATTTCTTTATCTTATTAAAGAACTTTAAATCAAATAGAATAACGCTGTAGTGGCTGATATAAAACTGGACTTTTGTGTTAAATTGAAGGTAATGGCTTCCTAGCATTTGTGTGTTTTACACACATAACATAAAATACATGTTATCTGTGTAACAGACCAGATTAAAAAACAGACATGTTCTAACTAGTTTATTTCCACCAACGTTTATGATAATTGGTCATAAATAGGAGCTTTTATGTACATCTACATTGCTACTTTAAAGGTTAATATTACTGTAAAATTCAGAACTATAGGCTCTAGTTATATTATTGATTCATAAAGTGTAACCATGCTCATTTTTTGACTTAAAGAAATTTAAATTTTCTTTTATTTAATAGTAGTAAATAAAGCCCACATTAAAGGTTTTAAAATGTAGTAAATACTAGCATCAATTATATCAAAATTCATTGTAATAGGCATTAGAGCAAGATAACTAAAGCATTTTTCAAATCAATCTTTAACTGTCTATCAATTAGTTTAATTTAAAAGTCACTAATTAAATAACAACATTAAGCCATACAACTGTAAATCCCTTTGGTGAAACTTTGCAACACATTTTAGCATAGATTCTAACTGCACAGGTTTCTGCACTTAGCAAGTAAAATATTACAGTGTTGCTCAACACCCAGATACTTACCCCTTTCACAGCTGTTGACAATATAATCTTCACCAGGCAGACACAAGCACTCGAATGTCTGGTGACGGTCTTCACAGGTGCTTCCACCAAGACATGGGTTTGAAGCACACGGACCTTGACAGTTAAGACAAGAATCACAATCACATAAGGTAAGAATTTCATATTTTAAGTAAATTATATGCATATTTATTCTAATTAAGCAATGCATTCTGAATTTATATATCTACTAGCAAAGTTTTTGAATTACTTGGAGTTGCTGTGGTTGCAGGTGCTGCAGTGGTACCGGTAGGATCTAGGGTTGCTGAAGATCCAGTGCCTGGTGAAATAGTTGTGGCCCCTGTTGGTAGAGTTCCTGTTGTTGCAGTCGTTTCACCTGGTGCAGCTGTTGCAGTCGTTACATCTGGCGCAGCTGTTGTAGTCGCTTCACCTGGTGCAGCTGTTGTAGTCGCTTCACCTGGTGCAGCTGTTGTAGTCGCTTCACCTGGTGCAGCTGTTGTAGTCGCTTCACCTGGTGCAGCTGTTGTAGTCGGTGCAGCTGTTGTAGTCGCTTCACCTGGTGCAGCTGTTGTAGTCGGTGCAGCTGTTGTAGTCGCTTCACCTGGTGCAGCTGTTGTAGTCGGTGCAGCTGTTGTAGTCGCTTCATCTGGTGCAGCTGTTGTAGTCGCTTCACCTACATTTTCACAAGCTGTGGAGCCACAGTTGTATTAGTCTCCATAAGAAAAATTCTGTTTTGCTACTATTATACCCTATTTTAACAAAACATATTTGAATAGAACTAAAAAAATGCTTTAGTTATTCCGTAAAAGTTTAATAACAATCCATTGGACTTGGTTTCCAAGGTTTGAAGACGTTTCGCTTCCCCATCCAGGAAGCTTTCTCAATTCAAATGTCTGGATCCGCAGTGAGTTTGAGGCTTTATATAGACAAGGCCTTGTATCGCTTGGAAACATGTAAATTGAAACCGACGAGCGGGGCCTTTGGTTCCATTGTTAGCCTGTAATATCTGAAACTTGTCTATGATTGTGAAGGGTCTGTCGTTAAAGGAGGGATTGTTCACCTGGCTGAAGAGAGGGGGTACTTTGTTCCTCTGTGATGGGGTGGGGGTTGTGGTGAAACCTGGAAGGGATCATCTCTATAACTGAATTGTAAGTTTTTGGAGTCCACCACCTCTGTACTCAGATTCCAGCTTCCAAAAACTTACAATTTTAGGCTGTATCCATCGTGTTATCACCGTTAACTTTAATCCCAAGACAAGCAAATTAATTCCTTAAAATTGAGATGTAAATAATAGAGATGTAATTTGTTCCACCTGATTAACCGATAACGTCCATTTAGAAATTATTTCTTCTAGTGTTGTGACCTTACCATCGTCCACTAGAGGGCGCCGTTGCTCATTTTTAGACACAGGCTTGTATTTGAAAAGGAAAAAAGCCAGAGTGACGCCATGTTTAAAGCAGAAACATAAATCAATCTTGTTAGGATTATTACATCTTTAGTGGTAGCAAGGATGCAAAATTCTCTTTGTATCGTTTTGCTTGCGAAAATAAACACTCAATAAACTCTTTAAAATATCACCACCTGCGAGCAATAAAGTCTCCCCCTAGCACCGAATGCAGGTTTACCCTAAAATCAGAAAGTTATATCATAGCTATTCATATGTCTTTTAATGGTAGTTAACATCTTTGCACTTTTGAAGTGATAAGAGTTTCACATATTTAATTTATCGTTTTTATGTTTAGTAACCTAATAGGATCCCACTTGAATATAATCAAGTTTTTTTTCAGTCAGTTGGCCTATTTGATACAGCTGGAACAATATATTTTCAAGACAAAAATGTACAACTATCTTTAGTTCAGCATATTTTTATAAGTTTTTTTTTTATAAGCTATTTACTCTCCCGTGTTAATGAAAAGATCCTTATAATACATGAGAAAATATATGTTTTTTCTTTCAAGGCCGATTCAGTTTATAGTTAGTCAATATATTAGATCAGTCTACTTTAGATTAGTTCATCAATCCATAACTTGCATCCCTATTTCCAGCTGATATAATTAATCTGTCCCTAACATGCCTCATATATAAATCTTCTTAACTTTTTCTTTCCTTACTACAAATGTTTACTAATAATTTGTCCATTGTTGTCTTGCAGAGCATCTAAATTAAGAGCACAGTGGTGTTTTTGGTAATAAGAAATTGATACATGATTATTTTAAAATAAGAATTAATTTTAAATTATTAAAACATTTTTTTTATAGAAATGCAAAGATTCCTTTCCAAGGAGGAAAAAAGATCTAATAGGTACAGAAGAATGTGTTCCTTTCCTGACAATGACTTTCATACAAAATAAATGAAAAATCAAATAAAGCACTTACGAACAGTCCAAACAGCAATCAAAAGGAATGTCCAAAACCATATTTTGGCCATTTCCAACCTGAAGGAGAAAAAACCCCCAAAGAGTGAAAGCAGTGAACTATGCCTCGAAGTCACCTGAGTGCCTGAAAGCGCAGACTGAATGTGAAATCATCCCTGACAGAAGTTTTAATCAGTAGGCACTCCTCCCAGGGCGTTGCTAGGCACTAAATGAGTGTCTAAAAATAAAGGGAAAAAAATCTTATGGCCATGTTTTTTTCATTTTATTTTTTATTTCCTTATAGCTATCCAAGATCATAAACATGTCTTTGCCACAGATGTTAAGGACAACTGAAAGTAGGACACTGGTCAAATGCATTGGCCTGAATATGTTTTTTAAAAGAAACTAATAAAACAGAACTTGTGGTGATATACCAGATATTATACCACCTAAACATTTTCCATTTGGGAAATGTTTGGTCCACTAAAAGAAGTGCATCATAGTCATATCATAGCAATAACAGGGAAATGAAAAGATAGGTTTATTCTTTTTTTACTTCATGAGTTCAAAATATTTTTTATCATTCCATTACAGGAGAAACAGCTGCAGTTCATAAAGACTTTTAACTTATTCAGAAAAAAGGAAAGCTAGACAGAGAGTTAGACTTTTTTCCAAACCATAGTTTAAAAGGATTTTTAGAACCAGGTGTCAATAAAAGAGGTATAGCTTACCTAAAACAGCTTTATTAAATACTTTTTCCTTTGAACTTTGCACTTTTTCAAAATCATATTTTTAATGAAGGAAGTAATCTAAATAAATATCATGGTTACAAAAATAATCTTACATTTGAGATTTTCTTTTATTTCTAAATTACATGATGATTTTTACTTTTTTTTTTACCCACAACAATAGAGAATCAGTCAATCATATGGCAGGAACACAATTCTTTCAGGGATGTGAACAGATGTGGTCAGGATGAATTGCTGAACCTCAAAGAGAGCATCAAGTAGAACTTGAATTAATTTGAATCTAATATTGTATTTTAGAAGCAAAAAACTACTGAGACCTTCGCTCTAGACCACAACAGGTTTACAAAGAGAGATGATTATCAGGATGGTTTGTCTTGACACACTTGTGCCTTTAGACGTATACCTGCAGATCATGTTTTCATTGTCTAGACCTGCTTATCATTGCAGAGCAGCAGAGGGTCTGAAGCAGTTAATGTGTGAAAGGCAGGTTATACCCTAGATAGGTTTCCAGTCCATTACACAGACATAGAAGGCTAACAATCCTACCCTAACCCTAACCCTAACCCTAACCCTACACCTAACCCTAACCCTACACATTCACTCACACCTTAGGGAAACCAATCAACCTAACCATAATGTTTTGGGCCTGTTTAAAGAAGCCAGAGTATGTGGAGAGGAACCACACATGGAAAGATCCAGACTTCAGGGCAAGATTCAAACCCAGGAAGCTTCTTGGTGAAATCCAACAGAGTACTCACTATTCATTCTAGCTCAATGCTCTCAGATCATTTTAATACATGACTATAAGTTCACTGTATGAAATTTAGACCTGAGGGAATTTATGTTGTTAGGAATTAAAACAGTTCTGAGGATGAAGACCTTTTTATGTGAAAAATATGCATGAATCAAATCTCTCCATATTATTTCACTTTTTTTTAATATAACAAAGCTCTAAAAAAGATGGCAAATTTTAATGAGGAGAATCAATAACTCTATAGAACAATTAAAAGTTGTCATGCAAATATCTATCCCTTTTTAATTACCACTAATGTTCACATAAGTTTGTAGAATGCTGTGCAACCAAATCAATAGGAGAAATATAAAAATACTAGTCTTTTTTCTGTGTTTTAGAGCACTGGATTTGTGTTTCATTTTTGTTGAACTGTTTTTCCTACGTTTATCCCAGTCTTTGACTTTATAGGTTACAGAAATACGTTAATAATAAACTAGAGGAACAAATATCACATTCCTCGTCAGCCATTTTATGCTTTTATTGCAGGGCCATCTGTCCTCAGTTACCACTTAGATTTTCTTAAAGCTTGATTTAGTCACTGAGCCAAATATAAATATATATTCACAAATAATCACATATAGCAGCGCAATATTATTAACATAAGTCTCAAAATATTTAATCTAAGGAGCATTTTGATGAACTTACATTGGGTAACACCACAGACCTTAGGTGAGTAAAACACCAGGTGATTAAAACAGGGTGTAAAAACCTGACCTTTGATTTTAAGACATTTTATGTTACTCAATCATCTCCATAAACAGATAAAAATCTTCCTAAATAAAATGTGTTTTGAAGTTGCCATGACCTAACTGAATTAATGACAACTTACAATTAGTATTCATACTAAATTTTAATAATATTTCAACTATAACTACATTCATGCTCATAAATTAATAATCTATTTGTTGTCTTTGTTCTACTTTTCACTGATATTCTCTTCCACTCTTGCTATATTTTGACGTCATCTTGGGTGTAGGTGAAATAAAACACAGTGTAAAACCCCCATTTATAGCAACGTCACAAAATGACGAAGGTATTTTACTCATTATGCTGAAGGTAGGCATGCTACACCCTGGAAAAGCTGCCTGTTCGTGACAGACAGGACAGTTAATCAGCTATAAACATCACAAACTTATATATGATTAAAAAAAGAATTTAGAGGATATCACAGGGTTCTCTTTCAAGGTTATATCTGTGTGAGAAATTGACGGACAAACTGTGAAAAAAACAAAATCAACAACTATTTTAGTTAGAAGAATTGAAGCATATTTAGGTGATTGACTTGAATCAACATGACAACATAAGGGACTGCTTGTTTCTTTTATTGGTAATTTTTCTCTTTTTTGCCAATTTTGTAAATCCATCCATCCATTTTCTGACACGCTTAATCCCAAGTGGGGTCATGGGGGGTGCTGGTGCATATCTCCAGCTCTCAATGGGCGAGAGGCGGGGTACACCCTGGACAGGTTGCCAGTCCATCGCAGGGCAATACAGAGACAAACAGGACAAACAACCATTCACGAACACACTCACACCTAAGGAGGATTTTTTAGAGAAGCAAGTTAACCTAACAGTCATGTTTTTGGACTGTGGGAGGAAGCTGGAGTACCGGGAGAAAACCCACGCAAGCTCAGGGAGAACATGCAAACTCCCAGGCCGGGAATCAAACCCGGAACTTTCTTGCTGCAAGGCAGCAGTGCTACCCTCTGCGCCACTGAGCAGCCCAGTTTGTAAATCATACTTTGGCTAAATAAACATAATAAGACATAAATATATATTTATTTTATATATTCTAAGTACTGTGTTTTCCAAATGTCAAAACCATTAGATAATAGTAAACAAAGGTCTGTTTTAGGTCCAACACTTCTTCACTGTTTATTGCTGCAGTAGGGTTTTGTCATTACAAAGCAGCCTTACCGTTGACAAACAGATCCTCTTCTTTCTGTGACTCCTAAATACCAAAGATTAAGATTTTAAACAATATTTCCTATATAAAGCAATGAATAGGTAGGTATAAAATGTAGGGCTTTCATCTATATTTACAGACTTTTAATTACATCATCTTTAAGAGACTAGATGTGTTTTATTGTAAATGGCCTGTACTTGTATAGGGCTTTTTCAACAGGAAACTTGCCCTTTAAAGCGCTTTACACTACATTCAGTCATTCATCCATTCACGCACACACTCAGACACTGGTGGTGACAAGCTACATAGTAGCCACAGCTGTCCTGGGGCTCAATTACAGCTCAGTGGCTGCCATACACTGGCGTCACAAATCCCTCTGTCCACTGTCAGTAAGCAGAGCAGGTAGTGTCTTGCCCAAGGACACAACAACACTGAAAGCAGGAGCCAGGAATTGAGCCAACAACTCTCTGTTTGCAGGGCAAATTCCTTCATCCGACACATCTGTTGCCCAGTGATTTATTATTTGAAAAGCAGTGGGAAAGTTTGACTGTTTCTCCCTTGAGAAAAATTATACTGGGCTATAGAAGGGATTTGTCTTTTCTTTTTTTTTTTTTTTAGCCCTACAATAACAAGATTCCCTTTGTTTTTTACCTTTCCTTATCTCACCTGAAAAAATCCTGATCATTAAACAAATATTAGTATCAAATCAAGATAGTTTAAGTAAAAAAAAACAGAAACTTAACCTTATAAATTGTGCTTTTTTTTTTTTTTTTTTCAGGGCTAAATGCTATCATATCAACGTAGTCCAATATGAACATATATAAGCCTAATCAGTGGATAATGGGCAATGTCTGAGTATTGATGTTTTTCTGGAAAGCAGAGGTTAATTTTATAAGCATGCTGGATCTTACCTGACCTGTAAAGTCAAGAAATAATTTAAAAAGAACTTGCCTGACAACATGTACTCTGAAAGATCCCAGATATAACAAATCATGGCTCAATCTAGAGGAAATCAAAAACAGATGAGGAATAAAGTCACTTCATCTCTCAATCTGGAAAGGATTGTTAGGCATTTTCTAATGCTTTGGGTCTCCAGGAAACTACTGAGAATCGATATTCAAAAATGGGGAAAACAGATAATGTCCCCAGATATGTGTGGCCTTCCAATGAACAAATATAGCACTCCTCTAGGACTTCACAGAAAAACTAAATTCCAACATCTACATCTCTAATCTGTCTTTAATATCTCTGTATTAGGTTAATAGATTTAATACTTACTCAAATTGGTCTGTATTAACATTTTATCAATTAATATAATTTTAAAACTGTCTTTTAGATTAAATCCACCTGATGTTGATGATTTGTTGATGAATGGGGAGGTTTGGAAATAGGTAAAAGCACAGAACTCAGCTTTCCAGTCTGGTGATAGAGAGGCACTGAGGACAGCTTGTGCCAACTTAAACTGTGCCATCAGATAAGTGAAGCATCTTCCATGATGCCAGCCAAGGGGATGTGGCAAGGCATACAGGCAATCAAAGACTACAGCACACCATCCCCCTCGATTTGCTGACATCTTAAATAAACTAAACACTTCTTTTGAAGGCCTGAAAAAATAAACAACACTCCAGCAGTGAAAACTGTTTCACACCAGGGGGAGGAGGCACTCAACCTGGACGTAGCTGAAGTGAGGAAAACTCTGAGGAGAGTCAACCAAAGAAAGGCCCTA